GCATCACGAAATAAACGACAGCCGACATGGCACACGTTATGTCAGAAGCACGTGAGATTTATAGATCACTGCCGCATAGTACTTGCATTAAGTCCTTTCGCTTCTGAACGCTTACTTTGTCGTGCATTTCGCTGGTAGTTGTTCGTGACGAAAGTACCGAGGGTAATATCTTCTTAAAGCTTCACCTCATAAAAGTCCAAACTAGTGTTTTAAGAACTGTGATAAAAGTTTTAAAATACACTCCAAACAATGTCATATTATCAATTTGCAACAAAAAAAGAAAACATTTTCAGTATAGTGAATATACTATTTCAGTATTGCTTTCTCTACTTTTTAAACTGATTTTCATCGATTCTTTTATTAATTTTAATTCTATTTTAAACATAAAAAATTAAAAATAAAAAACGATAAAAATTAAAATTTTTTATTTTTATTTTAGATTTTAATTTTATTTTTACAATATCATAATTATATTCTTGCTAGTAAAAAAGTAGTTTTATATTTAAATTTATTAATACAATATTATTAAATTGTTTAGGAAAATGTTTCTGATGTTTAATTTTGAGTATAGTTGATTTTTTCACTGATGTTGTTAATTATTTATGAAATTAATATCTTGGATAATTTACTTGTAAAGTTGCATATTTATAAACGAACTATAATAACAGTACAGGAATGCCATCAGTAATCTTCCTCTGGAGCAATTAGCTAATCGCAGACAAACGAGAGTAGTGAACCATAAATATCTGTTACAATCGGGAGATTCACGTTCCACGCGAATAGGTATTAATCGAATGAAAATATAAATTATCCCATTGAAACAAAACTGTCAAAATATTATAATCAGTTTGTTGCTTTATATGAAAATGTTATATTAAATTTGTCCAATTGTGTCGCTTTACAAAATTATTTATGAATTTATCGAAATGTTTTCGATTCTCTATTCTAGTTTTTATATTTATTCTCTTTTTGCTTCGAGAAAAATTTCCATTTAATTTTTTTTTGCTTTTGACAGTAGTAGTTTTTGCATAAATTATGAAATTTCAGAAGAAATCAGATTGATATTTTGGAAAAGTTGAATTTTTAATGATTTTGATTAAAAATTCTAATGTTAGGGAAAAAAATTAAATTTTTGTGGCAGCTATGTAGTTTTATTATTGTTTTTCGTTTTTCGGTGTTTTTAGTACTTTTAGTATTGTTTTTAGTTTTCAGTATTGTTCTCTTTTGTATTAGTATTCTCTAAACCTGAATTAGTAAAAAGTTACTAATGAAATGACGAAAAAAGGATTTAGTAATAATTTTACTAACAATTAGCGAAATTGACTATTTGTTAGTAGAATTGTTTTATTAATAGTCGATAAAATATTTTCGCACTAATTCTTAGTGAAATAGATGACTAGCAATTATTGAAATTCTACTAAAAAAATTATTAAAATTTTATTACCAATTAGTAATATTCTAAGTTTAAGAAAAAAAATCTTTCTAAGAAAAGGTGAAAAGTCCATGAAAACTACTAACAATTAGTAAAATTTTACTATTAGTAGAATTGTACTAATTCAGATTTAGAGAGTAAAAATGTTTACTAATTTCAATTAGTGACGATTTGCTTTTGAGTTAGTGAAAGTTACTAATAAATTAGTAGAAATTACTATTTATTAGTAAAATTTACTAATTCATAGCAAAAAGTGAGCCACTAGTTCAAATTAGTAAACATTGTTACTAATTCAAATTTAGAGAGTGTTTCTTCAGTTTTGCGTTTTATTTGCCATCGATATTTATTCGACTCTAGTTGAATTAGTGAATTGAAAGTAAATAATTGATTTAGATATTTGAAAAAGATATTTTCCACTTTGGTTTTACTTTGTTGTTGTCAGATAAATTACTGTGTCGAGTTGAAAAGAAAGGTATTACATACTTAATCTTGAGGAGTTACATATACACTTGTAAGGTTGATACATGTAATAAATGCATTCCTGAGTGTATAAATGTGAACATCACGAGCATGAATGCATTTTCATTGTACGCAATAAAAGAAGTTCTTTGTGTCGAGAAAATGTCGAGGTATAGAGTGCCAAGTATAAAATGGGCAATTTGACCCTTGAACTTTTTTTATAACACTTGTATGAAAATTATATGACACGCATGTTATCTGTTTGGTGTAATGTATATATTCTCCTCGCATTATTCCTTAATGTCAATCGTAAAATTTCTATTGCCAAATACTTCTATGTGCAGTAATTTTGTTCTTGGAAAAATATTTCCCTTTTGTGAGTTTGCAATGTTGGGAAAATTATATTATTGGCTCTTTTACTTTTTTGATTTTAAATCCCTAGGGGAAATGTTTTTTATATTCTCGACTGATTTTTTGTTTAGGGAACAAAACTGTTGAGAAAAAGTTATGAATATAGTCGTATTACTTTTTCGTAATTATATACGGAGATTACAAACTCATTCGTCACTTATAATATTTTCAATCAAAAATAGTTGAAAGTTTCGTCGATTAAAATCTTAATTAACTCTGAATTTAAATCGTCAAAATTTTCAATCTTTTGAACTCTGTAATTCATCTTATTTTTAATTAAGCTCCAATTCAGTTGATCTGAATTACAATTTTTCCAAACTTAAAACAATATAAATTTTAATTAATTTCCAAATCAATTGATACTGAAAAAAAATGTATATATGATTAAAATAACCGATTACTTTACTACTATCAATTAAATATTTACTTGAATTGACATAATTGAGTTCTAAACAAGAATGTTATTAAAAGTTTTGAAAATAATTGAATTCGTGCGAAGAATTTTATTAAAATTTTTGAGAAAGATTTTATTAAGACTTTGGAAAATAATTGAATTTTTGTCAAGAATTTTATTAAAATTTTTGAAGATAATTCATTTTTTGCAAAGGATTTTATTAAGATTTTTGAGAATAATTGAATTCTTTAGAAGTATTCTATTCAAATTTTAGAAAATAATTCAATTTTCGCGAAGAATTTTTTTATTTATGAAGATAATTGAATTCTTGCTAAGACTTTGATTACCAATTCTAAAAATGATTTAATTTCTGCGAAGAATTTTGTTATTTATAAAAAAAAATTGAATTCTTTAGAGAAATTTTATTCAAACTGTGTATTGAATGTAGGAAGAATAAACTTCTTGGAAATAATTTTATTAAAATTCATTAAATAATTGAATTTCTGCGAAGAATTTTATTATTTATAAATATAATTGGATTTTTGCTAAGAATTTGATTACAATTTTTGAAAATAATTGAATTTCTGAAGAAAATTCGATTATAACAGAATACTTGACAAGAATTTTTAAAAAATTTTTGAAGATAATTCATTTTTTGTGAAGGATTTTATTAAGATTTTTGAGAATAATTGAATTCTTTATAGAAGAATTTTATTCAAATTTTAGAATTTTTTTATAATTCAATTTTTGCGAAGAATTTTCTTATTTATAAAGATAATTGAATTCTTGCTTAGACTTTGATTACAAATTCTTATCAAAAATTTAATTTTTGATAAGAATTTGGTTACAATTTTAAAAAAGAAAATTGAATTTCTGACGAAAATTCGAATATAATCGGATTCTTGACAATAATTTTAGAAAAATTTTGTGAAGATAATTAAATTTTAGCGAAACTTTCATTAAAAATTTTGAAAATTTGTAATTGGATTTTTTAAGCTAAAGATTTTATTAAGATTTTTGAAAATCATTGAATTTCTGCGAAGGATTTACAATTTATGAAAATAATTGAATTCTTGTGAAAAATTTTATTAAAATTGTATTGAAAATAATTGAATTCTTGCAAATTTTTAAATAATTAAATTTTTCCAAAGACTTTTTATCTTTCAATTAAATTTTTGCTAAGAATTTGTTTCCAATTTTTGAAAATAATTGAAATTCTTCAAAGAATTTTGTTATTTATAAAAATAATTTTTTTCTTCCGAATAATTTTATTTTTAGTTGTTTCAGTTAAGACTTTAGCTATTCCAGAGAAACTAACGCTATTCTAGGTGATTTTTTCCAGGTTTTTTCCGTGTATTTTTTGTAAATTTGATAATTTTAGTAATTTTGATAATTTTAGTAATTTTAATAATTTTGGAAATTTAAAAAATTTCGTAATTTTGGCAATTATTTAAAATTATTTTCGATATCGTTAAGGATGATGAAAGCGTTTGGTAAACTGTTTGCTCGCATATATATGCAATCAGATACTCAAGAATACGATGAGTATTTGTATGTGTATATACTCTAACTGGACTTGATGATAATCCAGATTCGCTGGGAGAAAAGCATAAGATATATATATTTACTTATTGTGTGTGCTAACTAAGGATAAGTGTTTGCTTTAAATTGGCGAATAAAAGAGGAAATAGAGTGTGAGTAGGAGTTAGAAAATCCACATCGTCACTTAATTTTCTTTTTTTTTAACATTTAATGCAATTATTTCATCATTTTGTACTCGTTGCCATGAAGGGAGTGATTTGTTAGTTATGAAATGCATTTGCGGTTATTACGGACGAATCATTATGAAATCAGTTTGAAATACAGAATTTAACTTTATTCCCAAAAGAATACATCGTGGAGATTTATTAAATCGTTATATTAATTATATATATCAAGATAGATTTAGCAATTGTTTAGTCAATGTGTTCTTTAATTCTTCTTTTTCTATTCTTCTCGTTATACATATTTCGATTAAAAATTTTTTATTTTGGTTTAATTTTTGAAAATGTATTTAGCAATTTATTCGCAATGGGAAATTGATCAATAATCAGACGACTGATTGTGATTCGGAGGTGTGAGATAAATGAAAGCTTTTAATAAATTGACAACGCACATTTGAACAAGAGAGAAGTTGAGTATAAATTAAACTCAATATTGTATGTACGAATGAAAGTTGGTTTTTGCATTTGCATGTGTTGTTTGAAGTACGACATTAGTTTTATGTGCACACGTCCTCATATGTATGATCGAGTTTCACGATGGGGAGATGCAGTCACATGATTCTTGTGCGGTTTATAGTCAGTTTAAAACCCGTGACTCTGTTGCCTCACTTCTAACTTCAATAAATTTATACACAGCGTGTTGGTGCAACCTGGACAGAAAATCGCGTGTATATACATATACAAAACAAGACCTCTAGCAGCACTAGAATTTAGTTTTGCTTTGGAGCACAAACCACTTCGATCCACACACAGTTCATGTGATCCAATTTTACCCACGGGACTCCAGTTTATGGGCACGCATGTAAAATCCTATTTATCTTCATTATACTTCCAAGAGCTCAATCTAACGAGAGCTTTTGTTTGTTTTTCTGTGTATATGTGTATATATAGATATATATCTCTCTCGTGTTGGAACGTTGGATTCTATATCAATGACTCAATTAGAAAAAATCACTCCATTTCATGGTTCATTGACCGTTGAGGCAGTTTTTTTCTTTCTTTCTTTCTTTCTTTACGCCATTCGTTTCAACCCTTTTTATTCGTGAAAATTATACATTTATTTAAACGAATTTATTAATTTCGACAATTCTGATTTTCTTTTATTTGCTTTTCGTGAAAGAATAACAGGCTTTGGATAGTGGGACTTTTTCCGTCTATTTTAAAAAAAGGCGATTTTTTTTACTTATTTTCAAAGAATAAGAGTTTTCCGACTTTTCTTCTTTTTTATTTTCTTTGGAAGAAAATACCACTTTTTTGGTTTAAAATGCAACTTTTCCGATTTTTATAGAGTGAAAAATAACAATATAGTCAGGGATAATAAAATTGGTCAGGAAAATGTCAGGGAATTTTGTAAAAAATACTTGGAAAAAATATCAAATTTCAGGAAATTCTATAATAATTCTAGTTTTTGTTGTTTAAAATCAGTTTTAAAAAACTTAAAAACCTTGAATTCTCGTTAAATTTTTTTTCAACTTAAAAACTTTTGAATCACAATTAATTTGAAAATAGTAATACCTATATTTTTCTTATTTTTGTAAATAATTAAAGTTATTTTAAATAACTGTGACGCGCTCCAAAGAAAGATACTTAAGAAAAAAATTTGAGGTTATGTTTATAATTTTCGAATTAAAAATACAGAAAGAGAATCAATTATTATTAAAAATTATTGAACTTCCAGACTTCATTACATATAAAATATTTAATAAAGACTTGGTTTAAAATTCATATAATTAAAAAGAAACTTGTAATCAAAGATAAATCTGGCAGAAATATAACCTATAATTCGTTTGCTTCTTAAATACCTTTCTGGGGATCGTTACAATTAAATTCTAAAATAACTTTTTATAAATTTATGAATTATAATTAACTTAGAAAAGATTTTAGTTATAAAATGTTGCAATTTTCAGAAATAATTGAATTTCAAAAAGTTTTAAACTAAAACTTTTAATAATTTTAATTCGTGTAAATTTGATTTTTATGTATAATAAAGAATTTTAGTTGAAAACTGTTACAATTTTTAAAAATAATTGAATTTCGAAAGGTTTTAAACTAAAATTTTTTAAGATTTTAATTTCTGCGAAGAAATTAATAGCATATAATTAAATTTTTATGTTTAAAATTATTTAAGTTTTAAATAATTTTATTTAAAAGTCTGCAATAGATTATTTTTTTAAGAAATTTTAATTCAATTTTTAAAAATATTCCAATTTTTAAAACAAATTTTATCAATTAATTATCAAATTAATTAAAGTTTTGTGAAATGGAATTGAAAAAAATTATATTTGTTAAAGAATTTCATTTGAGATTTGAGAAATTTTACTGAAATTTTTGAAATTAAAATTTTGAATAATTTTAATAAGAGATTTTAAAAAAATAATTAATTTCTTAAAAATTTCAAGGAGAAATCTTCAAATGAAAATTTGAAAATATAAATTTTTGAAAATTTGCTCTCAAAAGTTACAATATCTTTTAAAAGAGTAATTCCTAGAATTTTTTGAATATAATTTTATAATTTTTTGAATATCTGCAGCAAATAATTAGATTCCATTTTTTTTAAATACAATATTTTAGAATTATTATTAAAATTGTGGAGAAAAGAATTATTTAAAAAAATTCTCTCTCTTAATTTGAATCACTTAAAAATCATGGTTTTAACTGACAATCAGTGACTGACTTTTTGCTTCTGAATCAGTTAAAAATAACTGATTTTCAGTCAAAAATAACTGAAAAATTAGTCAAACTTGACTAATAATTGAATCAGTCAAAAAAAAAATTTACTGAAACATTAGTTATTTTTAACTAATTGTTAGTAGAAATATTACTATTCGATTTAGTGACTTACTTGTTGCTTCCAAATCAGTTATTTTTGACTGATTAAAATTTAGAGAGTTAATTTATATTCTTAAAAAAATATATTATAGTTTTTATTTTATTTATTTTTTATTAAATGTTGAATTAGTTTATTGGCACTTTCAATAATAATAATAAAAGTGTGAAACTATAAAATGTTTAACAATAAAGTTTTTGCGGACAATTATTGTCGCTTTTTATAACCTACTCAATGCTTTACACCTTGAGAGAAATTTACTGTTTAACTTTTATCTTAAATCAGTGTTGCTGTTATTTTCACTTACGATATACAAGTACACCACTCGTATAAAGGGAGTTTTGTATATTTCGAAATGGAAACTAAGTTATATGAGCATTTTGTTTACATTATGGATATAGAATGTAGATGAATGGAGTAAAGAATAGTTTTCTCAATTGTTTTCTATTCAATCATTCTGCCTAAATTATTCATAATTTTCTATAAATTTTAATTAATGAGATTAATAAGAATTAGTGAGATTTTGCACTAATTATTATTATTATTACTTAATTATTATTATTAATATTTAATTATTAATTATAGAAAATTATTAATAATAATAATAATAATAATAATAATAATAAAAGGCTATGTTTAATTACAGTTTAATAATTAGTAACTAAATTTTTGTCTGATTTACATCTAGAGTGTAATTATTAAAATTCAATTCAATTAAATAAATACATAAAGAAATATATAAATGTTAATTATGGAAATAAACGTAGCAAATTGTATTTTTTTAATACTTTCACTTTTTTTAGTTGCTTTTAAAAATACAATGACAGTCAAATTTACCTTTAACCTTGTCAGATTTCTCAGCTAAATTTTTTTGATTGTTTTTAAAATGTAGAGTCACTGCGACAACCGGATCTTAATAGTTTAAGATACGTTTTTTTAGATAAAGGGTTAAGTTTATGCATATTGTGTCCACCTTCACCTAGATTTAAAAAAAACTGAAGCAAAAAGAGTTTATCTCTTCAAATCTAATCTAAATAAATTAATCGAGTAAAAAATCGACCGCAATTTAAATAGAAAGAAACAATATTAAATACATTTTTAAAGTACATGTAACAATTTTTTTTAAAACGAATAAACTTCAATTTGATCGAACACTATTTTTTAAGTAGTTAGCATTAAATAGTGATTAGTATTTTATATGAATTAGTTCTAATTAGTAATTAGAATTTAATATTAATTAGTAATTAGTATTTAATATCAAATAGTACTTAACATTAATTAGTACTTAAAATCAATTAGTAATTAGTACTTAATATTAATTAGTAGTCAGTGTTTAATATTAATTAGTAATTAGTACTTAAAAGCAATTAGCAATTAGTATTTAATATTAATTAGTAATTGGTATTTAGTATTTAATATGAAATTTTACAGTACTATAATATTATATAAAAAATGTTCTAATTTATAATATTTTGCAGCTAAGGCTAACAATACTTATTTTGACAATAACAGCCATTAATGCAGCTTCACTCGCAAGTGTTCACTTAAAATTTGTCTCACCTCCTCACACATTTGAACATGGATATGTAACTGACGGTATGTTCTACTTATACAAAAATTATCCAATAATTACTAAGAATCGTTATTTTTTAAATTTATAAAAAGACGAATAAATTGCTTAATTTTGTTTTTAGGAGGAACCACCTTAATGCAAAAGTCATTTCTATCGATTGGCAGAAGAAGTCCAAGAAAATTCGGTTTGAACTAATTTATATATTTTTTGTAAATTCCATAATTAGATTGATTAATTAAAATGAGAAATTAGAATCATTGATTGATTAGAATATGGTAAATTATTCATTTACGATAATTTGCAAAAAAAATATCCATTTATAATACAGTGAAACCTGTCGGAATGAAACTCGATTTCTTAAATTTTATTACTGTAAACAATCCTTAAAAAATTGTTTTATAATTTAACTTTGTAATATTTTTACAATATTCTGAATCTAAGTGAAAATAATTGTTATTGGATATTTTTGAATACAAATAAAATTTTTAAAATAGAGTTTCATTCCGACAGGCTCGATTGTAATTTGAAAAAAGAGTAGAATAATTTGCAAAAACAAAATTATTTATTTATGTAATAATTAGCAGAAAAAAATGGCAAATACAGTACCGGCCAAAATTGTCAGTCCACCCATTTTTGAAGGAATGAAAAAAATTTTTTAACATAAAATTTATGAAAACTCAAATTTTTTTTGGTTTATATTTTGAAAGACGATAAAATTTTGAAAAGAATAAGACCTCACAGAAGTCATTTGGCCAAAATTTGTAGAATATATTCTTAAAAATCGTCATTTTCAATGTTTTACAAAAATTTGAATAACTTCTAATGAACGCTTTTTAATATATGAACGCTTTTTAATAATCTTAGGCTTATTTTAAAGGTCATTTTCTACGGAATAAAAATTACTTATAGGCATTAACCTGTAATTTTTTATTTGGAATAAGCATGACGTCAAAGTTGGACAAAAATATTGGAAAAATTTGAAATAAATTTTTTGTACTAAAAACTACTCTAGAACATATATAAAACATGATATGGTGTAGATTTTTCAAGAAAATTTAATAAAAAAATATGTTTGAATTTCAAAAATTATTTTTCTTTTAATAATATTATTTCAAATTTTTTGAATATTTTTGTCTAACTTTGACGTCATGCTTATTCCAAATAAAAAATTACAGGTTAATGCCTATAAGTAATTCTTATTCCGTAGAAAATGACCTTTAAAATAAGCCTAAGATTATTAAAAAGCGTTCATTATTTTAGAAGTTATTCAAATTTTTGTAAAACATTGAAAATGACGATTTTTAAGAATAATATTCTACAATTTTTGGCCAAATGACTTCTGTGAAGTCTTATTCTTTTCAAAATTTTATCGTCTTTCAAAATATAAAACAAAAAAAATTTGAGTTTTCATAAATTTTTTATAAAAAACTTTTTTTCATTCCTTCAAAAATGAGTGGACTGACAATATTTTGGCCGGTACTGTAGTAAAATATTTCACATTTTTAGGAGAACGAATTCAAACTAATGGAATACACAGCAATCGTCTTTATGTGGAAGAACGTCCCAATAATATAAAACCCGAGAGTGCTGAATTTTTGTGGCCACAAGGAGTTTTTCAAGCTCCAACTAATATAAATGATCTTGGATACAGTTCACAAGAGTCTGGACATAGAACGCCTGATTTCTCAGATGGAACTCGTAATTATTTTTATTTCTAATAGATTTATTATTAATATTAAAATTATTAAATATTTTAAAAATATTTTTGCACTACTAAATTATTTAAATAGTAACGAAAAAAGTATTTAATGGGTCAAAATAAGTGAAACCGGCCACTTGAAAAATTTTTGTCCCCGAATTGAAAGTTATCTATGGTTTTTGATAGATATATGAGTAAACTTTTACCCGCTAAAATATTTTTCAAAAATTTTATTTATTTTGAAAGTTATCAGGTGTTAAACTTTTAGGTTACTTTTTATTCTTTTCATTATTACTCCGAAACGAATGAAGATAATTTCAATTTTTTTTTTGGAAATTAAAGCTAAAAGTCTGTAGTTTAAAGTGCAACTGAAAAAATTGCTGTATAATAAAAATTTTTAATTGTTATTAACAATTATTTTAAACAATTGCGATTTAAAGTATGTTCTCAATGTCGGAAAAAAATCAAACTATACTCATGTGATGCGCAAAACTCTAACGAGTAAATTAAAAAAAAAAAAGTGAGTAACCTCTAAAATTACAGAAGTTATGCATATTTTTCTGACGACGCGCGGGAATTAACTGATTCGCAAACTCTCGAGCGCGCGGGAATACGCCCGCGCCCGCGCCCGCCGCACTGCTCACACTTGTGTTTTCAAACAATTTATGTTTACAGAGAAGGAGAAGTAATTAAAATATTATTTTCTTACTGAATAGTTTATTAATATTTTTACTTTTGGAGTAATTATATACATAAAAACCATTTTGTATGTACTCATAAACTGCTTTGCAGTTTTTATGCTTTGATAAAAAACTTTTTTCGTGGGTCTGATATTCTTGAATCGTACAAAAATCGAAATCGATATTGTTTGTGTAGAATTTCATCAAAAAATTTTTTAAATAATTGGATTTCTAAATAAAATAATTGAATCATTTGTCACTTCTCCAAAATTCAATTTTTATTAGTGTTTTAACTGAAATTTCTTCTATAAATTCGCTATTTTTAATAATTTATTATTTCTTAAAACTGTATTCCCATAAAGAATTTTATTAACAAATTTTTAAATAATTGAATTCTTTGAACGAGTTTTAATAAAATGTTTAAGAATAATTATTATTAAAAAAAAATAAAACAAAAAATAAAAATAAAAAATAAATAAATAAATAAAATAATAAATAAAAAAAAATAATAATAATAAATAATAATAATAATAATAATAATAATAATAATAAATAAATAAATAAAATGTTTAAGAATAATAATTATTCTTAAACATTTTATTAAAACTCGTTCAAAGAATTCAATTATTTAAAAATTTGTTAATAAAATTCTTTATGGGAATACAATTTTAAGAAATAATAAATTATTAAAAATAGCGAATTTATAGAAGAAATTTCAGTTAAAACACTAATAAAAATTGAATTTTGGAGAAGTGACAAATGATTCAATTATTTTATTTAGAAATCCAATTATTTAAAAAATTTTTTGATGAAATTCTACACAAACAATATCGATTTCGATTTTTGTACGATTCAAGAATATCAGACCCACGAAAAAAGTTTTTTATCAAAGCATAAAAACTGCAAAGCAGTTTATGAGTACATACAAAATGGTTTTTATGTATATAATTACTCCAAAAGTAAAAATATTAATAAACTATTCAGTAAGAAAATAATATTTTAATTACTTCTCCTTCTCTGTAAACATAAATTGTTTGAAAACACAAGTGTGAGCAGTGCGGCGGGCGCGGGCGCGGGCGTATTCCCGCGCGCTCGAGAGTTTGCGAATCAGTTAATTCCCGCGCGTCGTCAGAAAAATATGCATAACTTCTGTAATTTTAGAGGTTACTCACTTTTTTTTTTTTTAATTTACTCGTTAGAGTTTTGCGCATCACATGAGTATAGTTTGATTTTTTTCCGACATTGAGAACATACTTTAAATCGCAATTGTTTAAAATAATTGTTAATAACAATTAAAAATTTTTATTATACAGCAATTTTTTCAGTTGCACTTTAAACTACAGACTTTTAGCTTTAATTTCCAAAAAAAAAATTGAAATTATCTTCATTCGTTTCGGAGTAATAATGAAAAGAATAAAAAGTAACCTAAAAGTTTAACACCTGATAACTTTCAAAATAAATAAAATTTTTGAAAAATATTTTAGCGGGTAAAAGTTTACTCATATATCTATCAAAAACCATAGATAACTTTCAATTCGGGGACAAAAATTTTTCAAGTGGCCGGTTTCACTTATTTTGACCCTAATACAATTATTTTTTTTTACTTTCAGAATATCCTGATCCTTATCTTTTAACTGGTGAACAAGCGAAACGAGCAGTAATGTTTCTTTACGGACGTGGAGAACTTTTTTTGACTGATTATCCACATACGAGAGCTCTACTGAGAAATCAGGAAGATAGAATACGAAATGGCTTATCGACACATATATTGAGTAGTATTAGACCGCAATCTCCTTTTTATAAAAAAATGTCGCACAATATTAATTACTGAACCATTAACAAATGTATTGTTACTTTCCTGTCACACAACGAATTTTCAATTTATAAAACTAATGAATACACTAATATAAAACTAATATTTGAAAAAATTGAACTAATTTTTAAAATATTAAAATAAAAAATTTATATTAAATTAGAAGGGAACAGCAGTAATTTATAGAATAAAATTATTTTTTCAGTAATCTATATCTATATATCTATTAAATCTATTTCTAAATATTTTTTTTAAATTAATTAATTTTTTTTAAAACTATTAAATGAAATATTACACTGAAAAAAAATTTACTTGATTCAAATGATCGATTCCTTGTTTGTTATCAAATAAATATTTACTTGAATCAAATAATTTTTTTAAATCAATTGAATTTTATTTGCTTCAAATACTGAAATTATTGGTTCAAATACAATTTATTTGTTTGTGTCAAAATAATATTTAATTCAAGTAAATATTTATTTGATAATGGTAACCGATTAAATGTAACCGATTAATTAATCGGTTGTTTGAATAAAATTAATTTTTTTTAGTGTAAACTTCATTTTAATTTTTGTTTAAATAATTTATTTCTGTATGTTTAAAAATGTTGCAATTCTTTTAAAAAATGTTCCAGTTTCTGAAAATGATTTTTTTTTCTAATTCATGTAATTTAGAGTTTATTTTAAAGTATAAATTCTTTTTATTGTATACATGAAGTTTTACTAAGTACAGAAGTAAAATTTCAGATATTTTGTATACTAAAAGTTTGAACGAAATATTTATTTATTTTTGAGTTAACAACTACTGGTGAAGTAGATTTCTTGTTAAAATTATTCGATTTTCGTTGCGAGGAGACATTGAAGTCGATATTGCAGTTCTCTTTTAATTAATAGTTTTTGTCAACAAACTTTGTTGAAAGTCCGTTAGAATGCGCATTATATTTTAAATGTTTGTGAATTTGAACAGAAGAAAGAATTTTTGCGAGGTAAAAAGTTAGCAAAAATTTTACTAAAAGTCTGTCAGGGATCACAGTTAGTCTTTTTCCCCTTTTTATAAAATTTCCTAAAACATCTAAAATCAAATGTTTTCTCCCTTTTTCCCCTTATCATTTTAAAGAAAAACTAAAAAATAATTTATTGTAATTTGCTGTAAATTAGAAAAACTTTTAATTTTGCTTAAAGAAAAAATTGTTGACTTTTTGCAAACTTTGGAAAAATTTTATTAAATTAAATATTATTTTTGAAGAAAATATTAGAGAAAAAAGAGAATTTTTTATGAAGGAAAAATTTTCTTTTTTTAAAAAATTACAGATTAGAATTAAATGAACAACTAACAATTAAATAACAAAATGAATAACTAACAATCAAAATCATTATTTACAAAATGATTCTAAATGAAAGGAAAATAATTACATATTTGAAAGTAATTAACAAACAAGTTAATACAACTTAATATACATAGACATAAAGTAATCATGAAAATAATAAAAGATAATTTCCATGGTGAATAAATATTTAATAAGCAAACAAGTAATTCTGCCTGAGACAAATCTTGTTTAATGTGAACACAAAGCGATGAATAAACACTTTGAATGCATTAAAACCGCACCTCAATGTTTTACAAAGAACACTAAATCTTTCTGAGTGTTACAAACACAATCTAAATTGATTTCTCTTTACTAAATAAGACCTTACTTCATCCCAAGAAAATAATGAAGGTGGATATCTTCATCATGAGATCTTTATAAATACATAGCGCTTCTGTGACATGCATGTTTACATTTCGCAAATTGTTCATATATTTGAATTGTCTGATTTTTTTTATATTATTTTTGAAAAATGAGCAATAATATGTATATTCTACCTTATTTTAATATTAATACTAATCTGTAAAAAGTGTTGATATTAAATGAAAAATAACTCAAATGTGTTGTTATTAAGTTCAAAAATATTTAAAAATTCTCATAAACATTTCAATTATCTTTAGAAATAATTAAATTCTTCTCCGAAATTCAATTATTTTCAAAAATTTTTCCCAATTCAATGATTTTTAATATCTACTATTTTAATAAAATTTTCAAAAAGAATTCAATTATTCAAAAAAAAATTTAATAAAATTCTACACAAACTTTTAATTATTTTTAAAAAATAATAAAAATTTCACAGGAATTTAATTATTCACACATTTTTTTTATAAATTATTTCGCAATCATTCAATTATTTTCATAAATAATAAAATTTTTACGGGGATTCAATTATTTTCATAAATAATAAAATTTTTACGGGGATTCAATTATTTTCGTAAATAATAAATTTTTTCTTAAGAATTCAATTATTTTGATAAATAATAAAACACATTGCAGAATTTCAATTATTTTTAATACAATTTTTATAGAATTCCTTGAAAAAATATTTGTCAAAAGAATTCAGTTATTTAAAAATTTATAAATAAAATTCTTTATGAGAATTCATTTTTAAGAAACATGCAATTATTCAATAAATTGTTATTTTTTGTATTTAAACAATTAAATTCTAGTAAAATTTTTCAATAAACATTAATTTAAAAATGAATTTCAGTAAAAATTTTAGATTATAATTTAATTTTAAAAGCATTAGAGCGTATATTTTTAGAAATAATTGAATTTTGAAAAAGTTTCAGATTAAAATCTTTAAAAATTTGAATTTTTCATATTTTTAACTAACAATTCTGTGGAATTAATTTTTTTGAGAAACTATAATTGTGGATTTTTTTTCAAATTATTTAAAGTTTTTATTTTCTAATTTATATTTAATTAAAGAATTTACAAATAATTGAAATTTTGTAAAATTGAATTGTTAACAAATAAATTTGAAAATTCTTAAAGAACTTTTTCAAAAATGCCATGAAAGAGAAGGAAAAATGTTGAATTTTAAGAAATTGGGTTTTGATAATTTTTGATAATTTTTAATAAAATAAAATTTTTAACCAAAGGCTAGAGACTTTTAAATAAGTAAAGTGTTTTTAAAGAGCACAAAAATAATGAGGCTAAATCCCATAAAAGAGGGGAAAAAATGTTGAATTTTAAGAAATTCGGTTTATCGAAATTTTGATAATTTTTAATAAAATAAAATTTTTAACCAAAGGGTGGAGACTATTAAATAAGTAAAGTATTTTCCAAAAGCACAAAAATAATGAAGCTAAATCCTATAAAAGAAAGGAAAAAATGTTGAATTTTAAGAAATTCGGATTTTTGAATTTTTGATAATTTTCGATAATTTTTGATTTTTTACCAAAGAGTCGAGACTATTAAATAAGTAAAGTATTTTCCAAAAGCACAAAAATAATAAAGCTAAATCCCATAAAAGAGAGGAAAAAATATTGAATTTTAAGAAATTTGGATTTTTGAATATTTTGATAATTTTCGATAATTTTTGATTTTTTACCAAAGAGTCGAGACTGTTAAATAAGTAAAATATTTTCCAAAAGCACAAAAATAATGAAGCTAAATCCCATAAAAGAGAGGAAAAAATATTGAATTTTAAGAAATTTGGATTTTTGAATTTTTGATAATTTTCGATAATTTTTGATTTTTTACCAAAGAGTCGAGACTATTAAATAAGTAAAATATTTTCCAAAAGCACAAAAATAATAAAGCTAAATCCCATAAAAGAGAGGAAAAAATATTGAATTTTAAGAAATTTGTATTTTTGAATTTTTGATAATTTTCGATAATTTTTTATTTTTTACCAAAGAGTCGAGACTATTAAATAAGTAAAATATTTTCCAAAGGCACAAAAATAATAAAGCTGAATCCCATAAAAGAGAGGAAAAAATATTGAATTTTAAGAAATTTGGATTTTTGAATTTTTGATAATTTTCGATAATTTTTGATTTTTTACCAAAGAGTCGAGACTATTAAATAAGTAAAATATTTTCCAAAAGCACAAAAATAATGAAGCTAAATCCCATAAAAGAGAGGGAAAAATATTGAATTTTAAGAAATTTGGATTTTTGAATTTTTGATAATTTTCGATAATTTTTGATTTTTTACCAAAGAGTGGAGACTATTAAATAAGTAAAGTGTTTTTGAAGAGCCCAAAAATAGTGAAGCTAAATGCCATAAAAGAGAGGAAAAAATGTTGAATTTTAAGAAATTCGGTTTTACGAAATTTTGATAATTTTTAATAAATTTAATTTTTTTGCCAAAGAGTGGAGACTATTAAATAAGTAAAGTGTTTTTGAAGAGCCCAAAAATAGTGAAGCTAAATGCCATAAAAGACTGACATTTCAGTTATTTTTAACTGATTGTGAAATTTCACTGATTCAAATCGCGAGAATAGAGTCACTGATTCTCAGTCAAATTTCACTGATTTTCAGTGGAATTTCACTGATTCAGATTTAATTATTTGCTTCAAGTAAATATTTATTTGATAATAGACAACAATTGTTTTTTTCATTATTTTAAAGTATTCACATTTGTAGAATATTCGATTGGAACATAAATACGTCTTTTTTTATTATAAAATTATTAATGCTTGTGTTAAAAATAATCGCGTTTTCAATGTTCATATCTATTTAGTGTGAAGAAAAATGTTGTCTGCATCAAAGGTCTATTTGATATAGGTCAAAAAAATTGTTCTCACTGTTAGATAACCTTCTAACCTTAGAAAAGTGATTGTACTTTAATAATAAACACACATTACACATATATATTTATATGTTATTTTGTATTCGTAATATATTCCATGAATCGTTTTTGTTTATAATAATCCCTTGAAGTATTCATGAGAGGTATTATTTATATATTCATATACATAAGTGTCAGAAATAGGAACAAATAAATGGTTAAAAATTCATTGAATGACCTAGACCTATTAAATTCTTACATATATAATTTTCTCAATGAAGGAGTCAATTTGTCATTGTTTGCCTTTGCATTCAACTTGAATACAATAATGTAATAATAGATTAAAAAAATTACTCTATAAATATGTTCTTATGAACGTGTTTAAGATATCGCATATGTACATGAGTTTGAATTATATTCGTGACTAATTTTATTTGTACAAAAAAAAAAGAAAGAAAATGTTACTATCCCGTCTTCTAAGAAATATTCTTTTACAAGAATTTATTTCCGTTTTATTATTCAATCTGTACGGTGCTAATCTGTGACGAAACTTGAT